GAATAAAGACATTTTCAGATAAGAAAAAATGAAATAATTTATCACTGGCAGAGCTGCTTACCAGAAATATTAAAGCAATGGCTTTAGGCTGAAACGAAATATCACCAGCTAATAATACAAGTACATGCAAATACAGAGAGACCACCAAAAATATAAATATTTTAAAATATATATTTATATATTTAAATATAAATATTTTAAAAATATTTTATATATTTAAATTAAAAATATAAATATATAAAAGTCCATATACTTATTTAAGTTCTTTATAAGTAATAAAATTGTATTAAAAATTAATTTACAAATAAGCTTATAACATGTATAGATGTAATGCACAGGCATAACTCCTGTTGTGCTTTGTTTTGTTGTGTTTTAAAGTTTCTGTGTTTTGTTTTTTTCACAAGCTGAAAGTTTATGGCAAACTTGTGTAGAGCAAGTCTATCAAAACCATTTTCCAACAGCATGTGCTTACTTCATGTGGCTGCACAGATTAAGAGATATTTTTAGCAATAAAATATTTTTCAATTAAGGTATATACATTGTTTGGTTTAGACATAACCCTAGCATAGTTAATATAATACATTATAATGTAAAGTAACTTTTATATATTTTAAGAAGCAAATAAATTGGTGTAACATGCTTTATTGTTATATGAGCTTCATGGCAGTGGTCTTCAGTCAAAGCCTCAACATCTCAGAGATATACCTGTGCATGACAATCATAGCCAAAAGGTGAGAAAGATGAAATGGAGCTATATGGAAGCAAATTCTCCATAGTTTAAATAATTAAAGCTACTATTGTTTGTAAATTGAATGTTATAGTTTAAGGTTCATATTGTTGTTCCCAGGTCAACCACTAAGAAAATAAATCAAAATTTATAGTGGATTTGAATAGATCTTTCTTCAAAGGAGACTTATGTATGGCTAAAAATTATATTAAAAAATATCAAGACCACTATCCACTATGAAAATGCCCATGAAAACAAGAAAACATCACTTTTCAAACACTAGAATGGCTTTAATAAAACAATAGGCAAAAGACAATTTATGCTTATATATTATTTTTCAAAAAACATATCCAGTATATGATTCTGTTAACTTTTTCTTTCAATGAGCACTTCTATATAAAATAAGCTCTCAAACATAAAATCCAAAGGCCAAATCCAGTTGAATAAATTCTCTGCAATTGCCAGTTCCATCCTTTTGGGAAGTTCTGGAAGTGTAAGTGATTACATGTGAATTCATCAGGTTGAAATTTCCATTTTTACAGTGACTTCCTCATATACAAAGAGCTTCCAGTTTGAGTCACCGTTATCATTAATAATAGTACTATAGGGAAGTGAAGATAATTACCATCAATCTCCCCTATATGGCAAGTTATTGCTTGTATCTGAGATGGAACTTATAAATTTCCCTCTCAATTTGTGACTTTTTCAGAAGCAGGAAAGAATCATTAGTCAACCTGATTTACAGGGTACAGAAATATTTTGAGTCTTGGTTTATACAAAAACTCAGTGAAAAAATTCAATTCTAATAAGATAATCAGATCATTTATCTCCAGATCTTGCATTTATTGTCTACAGGATAAGGTCTTTTTTTACTTCAAATGTTAATTTACTAGATTTTTATAATGTTTATGTAACTCTGCAAATTATGAAGAAAATCCTAGGAATTATAGATAATTTGTGAGGAAAGAGAGAGAGGGGATTCTTTCTGATTATTCCCAAATATTTTTCAAATGTGTACACATGGCAGTCTCAACTAAATTCAGGTAACTGTTGGTGAGGAACATTATTTATTATTTTATTTTTCTTTCAAAATTCTGGACTATGCAGAGATACTTTCCTAAACCGAGGAAGTGCATGATGATTCATCTCAGAAGATTACAAATTAATAAACTTGTTCTGAGAGAATCAGTATGAAGGGGCAAATCAGGCTTGTCCAATATGGTTCTAGTGCAGGGATTTGTAACCATTTTCACACCAAAGACTTGGAAAATCTAGTGAAGTTTACAGACTCGTTCTTAGTATCTGATTTTTACAGAAGTGAAACATACATAGCATATGATTTTCCACTTTTAAATGTACAGTTTAGTAGTGTTAAGATCTCCAGAATGTTTTTTCATGCAGAATTGAAACTCTATGGATTAAACAACAAAGCCTTTTTCTCCCTCTTCCCAACCCCTGGTAACAACTATTATGCTTATGCTTTCTATATTTACACTGTAAGTCGTGTTGCTATGAACATGTACGTACAAATGTCTCCTGGAGAACCTCACTTTAACTGTTTTGGATAAATACCCAGAAGTGTGATTGTTGAGTATCATATGGTATTTGTATTTTTAATTTTTTGAAGAAGTCAGTATTGTTCTCCATAAAGTTTGCACCATTTTACAATCCAACCAACAGTGCACAAGATTTTCAACTTGTCCATATCCCTGCTAATACACTTGTTACTTTCCGGTTTTATTTGTTTTTGATAGTTTCTACACCAATGGATATTAGCTGATATCTCACAGTAAAATGTATTTCTCTGATGATTAGTGATACAGAGCACCTTTTCATGTTTGCTGGACTTTGCATATCATCTTTAGAGAAATGCTTATTCAAGTTTTACCCACTTTGAATTGGACTACTTGAACTTTTGTTCTTGAATTGTAGGAGTTCTTTATATATGCTAGATATTAACCTCTTATGTGGTTAAAGCTATATGGTTTGCAAATATCTTCTCCCATTTCGTAGGGTCCCTTTTTACTCTGTTCATGATATACCTTGCCAAGCAAAAACTTTTAAGTTTGATGAGGTCTCACTGGCCTATTTTTGCCTTTATTGCCTGTGTGCTCACTATGATTTTTATACATTTGTAAAATAAAAATACTTAGGATCATGAATAAATTTAATTATTTTGAAACATATTGGTCAAACTATAGAGACTACAAAATTCAGTTATGTATGTGATAATACTGATACATCACATGATGAAGTCTTAAGGCAGGACTAATAAGTAGCAAAATATACTAGTAGTTTTGATTGTACATGTGAAGCAGGTTTACTCTGCACTGGTTCCCAATTTGCTTGAGTCTGATGAGATAGAACATTTATACATAACGAGTTATATGAAGTAGATTTGATACTTACAAATAGACATAAAAAGACAACAGAAGTCTAGTACTGCTTGTAAGCCAGCCTGCCGTGGCTCAGGAAAGCTGCCCAGCGTGGACAGAGTATTATCTGTGTATATGCTAATTGGACCACAGCTGAGAGGTCCTGGAAACCAGCACATCCTTGATTTTATAACCCCAGAGTTCCATGGATCACTGGGTTAAAGCATTGAAGGACATAATGTTTCTAGGGAAGGACCGGGAAAGAGACCAGGCTGATCCAGATAGTTCTGTCTTATCTCAGGACATTGCATTCATAGCACATTCTACAATTATTCTTGAGAACTGTAAGTGAGAAAATGGGGAGAAATGGGTTGATGTAAGGTCACTCAGAATTATTCTCCAGTCAACATATTTCAAGATATCTGCAGCAAGGTAATGTGATATAAAAATATACAAAATTTTATTCGGTGACAGGCACTCTAATACTACTTTGTAGTGTTTGCATATACCTAAGATAGAGTAAATTTCAGTTAGCTATTAGTGAATACCAAGATTCAACTTCTTTGTTCCCCTTTAAAGTCCATAGGTTAAACCCCATTGTGAAAGACTGAAATACTAATCTTCCCCCACCACACACCCCTATTATACTCCTCAAGGGCCTTCTGTCCAATATTGTCCAAAACAAATTCCCACGCCTAAGGACCTTGGAATCAATATGGTGCAGAAGACAGGCTGCATAGCAGAAGAAGCAACTCTGCCAACATGTTTATTAAAAATTCCTTTAGGTGTCAAGATTATTTTACTGACAATAATTAATTAAATTAAATTAACTTTACAAATACACGTATTTTGAAAATTAAAAAAAAATCTTTTGCAATATTCTTTTCTTATGAATTTTTATAACAATAAACATAAACATTTAAGGCCATTTAATAAAATACATTTCGACAATACATAAGTACTTAGCCTAGCCAATCCCCATATTGGCAATTAAAAAGTAATTCCTTGCAAGAAAGAAAATTTATCAAGGAGATATAACTCACACATATGTCTTATTCCTTGGAAACTGATGCAATCAGACAGCCAAGAAAAATGCTGAATAAAATAAAAGTTTTCATGCTTTATGAACCAGGGAAAATGGAGTGAATTAAACACAAAACTCCAGGAGCTACTTCTATTGAATAAAGCAGCAGGGATTCTTTAGTTGGTCAGTTGCCCTAATGAATAGAGTCTATAATTAAATCAAGGCCCTAACAAAATGACTTTTATAATGAAAGAAAACGGCCGACAGGCAATAAGACGTGTATAAATAAATTTTAAAAGCTTATCAAAACAAAAGAACAATATTTTCAAAAGAACTTTGTAAAAATATAATTTACAGAAATAATCGAATTATGAGCAGCCTTACTAAGAGGGCAATTTAATTGCCCTTGACCTACTTTAGCAATTGAGTCCTTCTTGATATTTCTTCTCTGTTTGAGATTTCTCTCCATTTTATGATTCTTTTTCTGAATTAAAATATAAAGTTACATCACCTATACCTTATGATTTTTATTTGAAATTTAAAAGGGTTTATAAGGCTAGAGTTAACATTATATATCTACATATAATAGATATATATACACATGCATACATATATATGTACATACATATCTGTATGTACATAAAAACAGTACACGAACACACATATAGATATATAACTTAGCTACACATAATGTTTACGTCATATTAATTAAAATAATTTTTTCCTTGGTAATGTTAACTTCTCTGAAATTAACACAGCTTCACAGTAAAAAATAAAGAGGAGATACCGTTAAAGAGTATTTTTAATGTCCTTAAATAACCAACTTACAATGCCCATAAAATCAGTAATAGACGGGTGGGCTCCCGGCGTCGCGATGGAGGAGAGCGGGTTCGAGTCGGTGCTGTGTGTCAAGCCTGACGTCCCCGTCCACCGCATCCCTCCGCGGGCTACCAACCGTGGCTACAGGGCCACGGAGTAGCAGCTTGACCAGCCATCATGGAGTGGCCGGCTGAGGATCACTGCAAAGGGGCAGATGGCCTACATCAAGCTGGAGGACAGGACCTCAGGGGAGCTCTTTGCTCACGCCCCAGTGGATCAGTTTCCTGGCACGGCTATGGAGAGCATGGCGGATTCCAGCAGGTACCTCGTGATCTGCATTGAAGATGGAAACAGGCAACGGGCGTTTATTGGAATTGGCTTCGGGGACCGAGGTGATGCCTTTGACTTCAATGTTGCATTGCAGGATCATTTCAAGTGGGTGAAAGAGCAGTGTGAGTTTGCGAAACAAGCCCAGAACCCAGACCAAAGCCCTAACTTGGACCTGGAATTCAAGGAGGGCCAGGCCATCAAGCTCAACATTGCAAACATGAAGAAGGAAGGAGCAGCCAGAATCTCCGAGCCCCGCCTGCCAGCAAAGGAGGGTTGAGCTTGCTTCCCCCTGCCCCAGGGGGCAAAACCTCCACCCTCATCCCTCCCCCTGGGGAGCAGTTGTCAGTGGGGGGATCCCTCCTCCAGCCAGCCAGCAGTTGCTCCCACTTCAGGAGGTGCTTCTGTACCCTGGCCACAGCCCAAGCCTCCCACCGCTGCCATCTGGGGAGACTTTACCAAATCTACAGGATCAACTTCCAGCCAGACCCAACCAGGCTGGGTCCAGTTCTGACCTGAGCACAATCTTTCCTCATGTGACTTCTGGGAAGGAGCTCCCTCATCTGGGCCAAAGGAAGGAGGGTGAAGCATTCCTCAGCTGGCCTGTGTTTGCAGCATGAATCTCTCCTCTCTCCTTGCCTGGCTCTGTTGACAAACTGGGCATGTTTGGCAGTAAATTGGCATGGTGTCACACTGTTTCCTGGAATTCAAGCATGCAACCAGTACACAGAAGAAAAGCTCCGGGATCCCTGTCCCCATCTGTCCTCTTGACATGAGAGAGACTCTGAGACTTCTTCTATGGCAATGACACGTACTAAACGCAAGCCCCAAAAGCAAAATAATGGGGTGAGTTTGCTGCCTGGATTCAGATCAGCCCTTCTAGGGTCTGCAGGCATCATGTGATCAGTGGGGGCTTTCTTTACCCCNTTTATTTTCACATTCAAAATCAGATTTGCTTCAGCCTCAAAGAGTATGTTTATGTAAAATTAAATGAGGGCTGACGGTGAGTTGCACTCTTTTTTCCTAGATGGGAAGGGGTTAAGCCCTTTAGCCAGGCGTGTTGGCTCACACCTGCAATCCCAGCAATTTGGGAGGCCAAAGCAGGCGGATCACTTGAGCCCAGGAGTTCGAGACCAGCCTGGGCAACATGGCAAAATCCCATCTCTGCTAAAAGAAATACAAAAATTAACTAGTCACGTAGTTCCAGCTACTAGAGAGGCTGAGGTAGGAGGATTGCTTGAGCTCAAGAGGTTGAGGCTGCAGCGAGCCTTGACTGTGCCACTGCACTCCAGCCTGGACAACAGAATGAGACCCTCTCTCAAAAAAAAAAAGTCTGGGCACTGTGGTTCATGCCTGTAATCCCAGCACTGAGAGGCCGAGGCAGGCAGATCACCTGAGGTCAGGAGTTTGAGACCAGCCTGGCCAATATGGTGAAACTCCATCTCTACTAAAAATACAAAAATTATCCGGATGTGGTGGCGGGCACCTGTAGTCCCAGCTACTCGGGAGGCTGAGGCAGGAGAATCGTTTGAACTCAGGAGGTGGAGGCTACAGTGAGCTGAGATTGCGCCACTGCACTCCAGCCTGGGTGACAGAGCCAGAGTCCATCTCAACAACAAAAATTTTGATAAATAAAGTTATATTAACTATTAAAAAAAAAAAAAAGAAAAACCACTGGGGACCATATTTGGTCTCTGAGGCAAAGTTTGCTGACTGCTGCTCTTAGGAACTGGCTTCTTAGGGCTTTTTCTGTCCAGAGAAAAACCAGCTTTTATCTGCTTTGTATTTTCAAAGATCTGAACTCGTCCACCCTTCCCTGTCTTCTCTTTACAGATCAACTTCCAGCCAGACCCAACCAGGCTGGGTCCAGTTCTGACCTGAGCACAATTTTTCCTCATGTGACTTCTGGGAAGGAGCTCCCTCATCTGGGCCAAAGGAAGGAGGGCGAAGCATTCCTCAGCTGGCCTGTGTTTGGAGCATGAATCTCTCCTCTCTCCTTGCCTGGCTCTGTTGACAAACTGGGCATGTCTGGCAGTAAATTGGCATCGTGTCACACTGTTTCCTGGGATTCAAGTATGCAACCAGTACACCAAAGAAGAAAAGCTCCAGGATCCCTGTCCCCATCTGTCCTCTTGACATGAGAGAGACCCTGAGACTTCTTCTATCGCATTGACACGTATTAAACACAAGCCCCTAAAGCAAAAGAATGGGTTGAGTTTGCTGCCTGGATTCAGATCAGCCCTTCCTGATCTGCAGGTGTCATGTAATCACTGTTCAGTGGGGGGCTTTCTTTACCCACACTGGCTGTAGCCACTTCAGTCCATCTGTCCTTACAGAGGAGGGGCTCCTTCCTGATTTTTAGCAGGTTTAGAGGCTACAGCTTGAGCTTAGGAGGGAAATTGGAAGGATTAAGCAGCTTTTAAAAATGTTTAAATGTTTTGCTTTGCTAATGTGCTGATCCTCACTAACTCATCTTTGCAAAAAGAACTGCTCCCTCAGTGTGCTCCAGCGGTGTCTCTGAAGGCATTCCTCACTGTCAGCAGCTGCCCTGAGCTGCAGGCAGCAGTATTCATCTCTGGCCAATTGTCTGGTTTCCATGTATTCTAGGCCAGTTAGGCAACACAGAGCCAAGGCGGGTGCTGGAAGCCGGCTGGAATCGTGTTGGGGCAGGAAGGTGGAAGCTGTCGGCATGGAGCTGTGGGAGCCCGCCCTCCTGTCAGCTCGCGGCCCTCTGGGCTCACCGATTCACAGCGCAGCTCCTGGCAGACTTGGGTTTCTTTCTGGTGGTTTCTAAAGTGCCTTATCTGCAAACAACTTCTTTCTTTTCTCCTTCAGAGACTGTGAATGACTAGCCGAAGGAGCTCAGTAAACTAGAAGTCCAGGGTTGCTTGGATTACTGGCTTGTAAGAAATCGGAACGCACCTCTGAAATTCCTTTTATCAACTTACCTCTCAGTTGAAAGATTTCTTTTTTCAAGGGTCAAGACCATGAACCAAAAAAAGTGTTGGCCTTTTTGTGGGACCAGATTTTTAAGATAAAATAAATATTTTTACTTCTGTCATTGTATGTGAAAAAAAATCAGTAATAGGCAAGTTTGTTCTGAAATTTATAGGTTAAAATGAACACAAAGAAAACAAACTTCAACCAGACATATTGAAATCATTCAGCCAATGTTTTTGATGTTACTTGCTGGATGACATTTATTTCATTTACTTTAATATGTAGTATATATGCTTCCCATGAGTGCTAATTCACTTAACATAATAACTGTGTATTTATATATCACTTTTGTAGATCATATTTCAGGTGTGCTGCTAGGGCTACTCCATGGGTGGAAACATTTGTCATACAGGTGACTTTTCTATGCGCATACATCAAACACTGCATGGGTGAAAGTTTGCTCTTGAGTGTGTGTGAAAAGTTTCTTTAAAATGGTCATTTTTTAGCAAACTCCCATGGGGAGGTGACCAGCATCACACTTGCAGCTGCCGGCTGTTTAAGCCATTTGAGCTTTTTGGGGAAGGGAGAGTAGTCAGCACTGGGACTCACAACTCCCTAACACACTAAGCTCCCGGGGCAGGGGAAGGACGGCATTCATCTCTACAGTTCCAGGCTGTGCTTTTCCTCTGCTGGAGTCAGGGAAGCTGGATGGCTTGGTCCCAAGATGTGTCCCCTATAGCCCAACACATCAGCTGAGGAAGACTGCAGCCAGAGTGCCTCTTCAGGCCTGACTCTGACTCATTCTTTCTCATTGGGTGGAGCTTCCATGCAGGAACTTCTGCAACTCCAGCCAGAGGTTCAGGGACAGAAACCAGAACTCCCTGGGCCTGATTCCCTATGGGATGGGTGGCCACAGAGTCTGTGGACCAGCAGACTTAGCCTTTCCTCCTGGTAGTTCTGAGGAATCTAGGCAGCCTAGATGAGTGGGTTTCTCCCGAGTAAAGCACACACCCTCCACCAAAGACAAAGTGCTTCGTTAAACGTCTCCTGTTCTCTGTGTCACCCAAGTGGGTGACACCCTTTGACAGGGGTTGTCAGATACTCCATACGGAGTGATCCTACTGGCATCAGGTTGGTGCCCCTTGAGGTCAGAGATCCCTAAAGAAGGAGCAGGCACTCATCTTAGCTGTCCTCCAGCCTCCTTGAGTGACATCTCCAGGAGTGGGAGCAAACCAGATAAATTGAGCCTGGAGTGAACTCCCAGCAAACTGCAAAAGCCCTACAGAAGAGAGACATGACCATTGAAAGAAAAACAAACAGAAAGCAACAACAATATCATCAACAACAAGAAAAAAGCCCCCACAAACACCCCATCAAAGAGTCAGCAGCCTCAAAACCAGACAAACTCACGAAGATAAGAATCAACAAAAACAATGCTGAAAACCCAAAAGGTGAGAGTGCCTCTTCTCCAAATGACTACAACATCTCTTCAGCAAGGTCACAGAATTGGACAGAGGATGAGATGAATGAATGGACAGAAGTAGGCTTCAGAAAATGGGTAATAAAAAATTATCATGAGCTAAAGTAGCATGTGCTAACCCAATGCAAGGAAGCTAAGAACTTCGGTAAAAGGCTAGAGGAGCTGCTAACTAGAATAACCAGTTTAGAGTGGAACATAAATGACTTGATGGAGCTGAAAAACACCGCATGAGAACTCATGAAGCATATAAAAGTATCAACAGCTGATTCAACCAAGCGAAATAAAACATGTCAGAGTTTGAAGAACACCTTACTGATATACAACATGCAGACAAGATTAGAGAAAAAATAGAAAGGAATGAACAAAGCTTCCAAGGAATATGGGATTTCATAAAAAGACTGAACCTATGATTGATTTGAGTACCTGAAAGAGAAGGAGAGAATGGAAAAAAGCTGGAAAACATACTTCAGGATGTTATCCAGGAGAACTTCCCCAACCTAGCAAGACAGGCCAACATGCAAATTCAAGAAATACAGAGAACACCACTAAGATACTACGTGAGAACATCATCCCCAAGACATGTTATCATTAGATTCTCCCAGATCATTAAGGGCAGCCAGAGAGAAAAGCCAGGTTGCCTACAAAGAAAAGTCCATCAAACTAACAGTGGACCTCACAGTAAAAACTGTGTAAGCCAGAAGAGATTGGAGGCCAATATTCAACATTTTTAAAGGAAAGAATTTTCAACCCAGAATTGAATATCCAGCCAAACTAAGCTTCATAAACAAGGGAGAAAGAAAATCGTTTTCAGACAAGAAAATCCTGAGGGATTTTATTATCACCAGGCCTGCCTTATAAGAGCTCCTGAAAGAAGAACTAAATATGGAAAGGAAAAACCAGTAGCAGTCACTGCAAAACCATACCAAAATATAAAGACCAATGACACTGTGAAGTAACTGCACCAACTAGTTTGCAAAATAACCAGATAGCATCATGATGACAGGATGGAATTCACATATAACAATACTAACCTTAAATGTAAATGGGCTAAATGCCCCATTAAAAGACACAGATTGACAAATTGGATAAAAGTCAAGACCATTTGTGTGCTGTATTCAGGAGACCCATCTCACGTGCAGAGAAACACATAGGCTCAGAATAAAGGGATAGAAGAAAATTTACCAAGCAAAAGAAAAACCAAAGAAAAAGAGGGTTTTGTTCTTAGTTTCTGTCAAAGCAGACTTTAAATCAACAAAGATCAAAAAAGACAAAGAAGGGCATTACATAATGGTAAAGGGAACAATTCAACAAGAAGAGCTAACTATTCTAAATATATATGCACCCAACACAGGAGCACCCAGATTTATAAAACAGGTTCTTAGGGATATGCAAAGAGACTTTGACCCCCACACAATAATAATGGGAGATTTTAACACCCCATGGTCAATGTTAGATCAACAAGTCAGAAAATTAACAAGGATATTCAGGTTTTGAGCTCAGCTCTACAGACATCTACAGAACTCTCCACCCCAAAATGTACAGAACTCTCCACCCCAAATCAACAGAATATAAATTCTTCTCAGAGCGACATGGCAATGAATCTAAAACTGTCCACATAATTAGAAGTAAAACACTCCTGCAAATGAAAAAGAAATGAAATCATAACAGTCTCTCAGACCACAGTGCACTCTAATTAGAACTCAGGATTAAGGCACTCACTCAAAACCACACAATTACATTGAAATTGAACAACCTGCTCCCGAATGACTACTGAGTAAATAATGAAATTAAGGCAGAAATCAAGAAGTTATTTGAAACTAATGAGAACAAAGAGACAACATACCAGAATCTCCGGGACACAGCTAAAACAGTGTTAACTGGAAATTTATAGCACTAAATATCCACACCAGAAAGCCAGAAAGATCTTATATAGACACCCTAACATCACATTTAAAAGAGCTAGAGAGGCAAGAGCAAACTAGTCCAAAAGGTAGCAGAAGGCAAGAAATAATCAAGATAAGAGCAAAGTTGAAGGACATAGAGACATGAAAAACCCTAAAAAATTTCATTTACTCAAGGATCTGGTTTTTTGAAAAAAAAAAAAAATAATAATAATAATAACAAAATAGATAGACTACTAGCTAGATCAATAAAGAAGAAGAGACAGAAGAATAAAATAGACACAATAAAAAATGATTAAAAAAATGTCTAGCCCCACAGAAGAACAAACTACCATCAGAGAATATTATAAACACTTCCAAGGCTAAACCAGGAGGAAGTTGAATCCCTGAATAGACCAATGACCAGTTCTGAAATTGAGGCAGTAACTAATAGCCCACCAACCAAAAAAAGCCCCAGACCAGACAGATTCACAGCCAAATTCTACCAGGGTTACAAAGAGGAGCTGGTACCATTTCTTCTGAAACTATTCTAAACAATTGAAAAGGATTGATTCCTTCCTAACTCATTTTATTAAGCCAGCATCATCCTGTTACCAAAGCCTGGCAGATACACACACACACACACACACACACACACACACACACACACAAATAAAACTTCAGGCCAATATCCCTGATGAACATCGATGCAAAAATCCTCAATAAAACATTGGCAAATCAAATCCAGCAGCACTTCAAAAAACCTACTCAACAGGATCAAGTAGGCGTCATCCCTGGGATGCCTGGCTGGTTCATCATACGCTAATCAAGAAACATACTCCATCACATAAGCAGAACCACAGACAAAAACTGCATTATTATCTCAATGTAGCAGAAATGGCCT